GTGACTTGTTTCTTTTCTCTAACTGCTTGTAGAACTTTGTTCTTCTGTTGGATTTCCCGAATCTTAACAATTATATGCCTATGTGTAGATTTTTTTTGAACAAGGCTATTTGGAGTCCTATATGCCTCACTTATCTGCATGTCAAGTTCTTTTCCCCTGCTTGGGAAGTTTTCTGCCATTACTTCTGTGAACATTTTTTTTAATGTCATCTGCACTCTCTCCTGTTTCTCTGTTGACTCCTGTCAGTCTTATGTTTTTCTTCTTTGCATCGTCTAGCTGCTGCTGGATTTATTTCTCATGGTTCCTTACAATTTTAAAGCAATTTTTCTTTTCCTGGTCACTAATGGCAATCTTATCCTGTATATCTGAAATTCTGTCCTCACATTGGCTCATTCTGCTGGCTAGACTTTGAATGGAGTTTTTAATCTCCTGGATATCTATTTGTGTCTGTTTTATGGATTCCATTTGTTTCCTATGTTGAGATTCCATCATGTTCCTCACCTCCTCTATTTTTTTGTCTTTGTCCTCTCTAGATTTATTAATCATGTCTTGCACTATGGGCACAATCTCTGCTGTTATCTGAGAAAGTATTTCTGATTTCATTTTTTCCACATCCTCTTTTGTTGCCAGTTCAGGGAGTCCAGGTGGTTGAGTATCAGAGTGTTCCACCTCCTTTCCCTTTGGGGTTGCTATGGGTGATCTCAAAGTCTGGTTTTGAGACTTGTTTACATGTCTTCTCATTTCGAAGGTGGGGGGAGGGTGCTGTTGGCCTCCTCTGTGCTGGGAGCAGTGAGAAAGTGGCCCGGAAGCCCCTTCCTCTGGGCTTGGAGAGATGGAATGGTGGCCCAGAAGCTCCTTCCTCTGGGCTGTGAGCCACTTAAAGGTTTCTATGTATAACTTATAAAACCAGTCATAAAACTACTTTTATTCATATGCTAAATACTTGGTTAGGCCAAGTCTCAGTATATGTAGACACACCAAGAGCATTGCCACAGTTTTGAGTGTACCAATATACCTCATCCCACTTGGGACAAGTTTTATGTGAACTTCATGGCTGCCTCTTGTTCATCTTGAACAGTCCTTCCTGGCATCTCCATTGCAGTAGTGCTTGTTCATAGCTTTAGAGTCTTAACCACAATTTTTGCTGTGCTTTACCACATTATACTCTTTATCAGTTCTAGGCTGTGACTTGTAAGTTTTCATTCTGAACCCCATATTAATCCTAAAGTCATGAATACAGAGTGCAAAACCTTATAGGCAGCTACCTTTATTGTATGGAAGTAGAGAGAGGAATGTGGTGCTGAGGACTGTTGTGGTCTGTTCCTAGATTGCTCCATTTATTAGGGGGAACAGATGGCAGCAGTGTAATTAGAATAATTAGTATAGTTTGCCCATCATATCCATGAGTTCTGCATCTAAGGATTAAGCCAGCCATGGAGAAAAATATATGACAAACATTATGTCTGTACAGACTTTTTTCTTTTTATTTCCCCTAAAGAATATAGCATAATTATTTATAAAACACTTACATTGTGTTACATTATAAGCAATATTGAGGTGACTTTAAACATAAAAATATGTGTATTTAAAGGCTGTGCATGGATTACATGCAAATAATATATCATTTTATTTTATTAAGTTTATTGGTACATTAGGTATACAATATGATGACGTTCATCACTGGAAATTTGTACCTTTACATGATATATCTTGGTTCTTATTTTTTCCCCACTCCCCTGCCCTCCCTTCAACCCCTCCACCCCTCCCTACTTATAAAGACTTTGTTTCCGTTTTTTCCTTTTCTCATATTTTTTCTTTTCCCTTCTGTCCTTTCCCCTACCCTGTCCAGTTCCCCTTCCCCTTTAGAACTTTTCTTCCTTTTTCACATTATCTATTATACATTTTGATCCTTATTTACACTTTCAATTTCTCACACCAGAGGCACTCTTCAATATTTACTTGTGTGTCCTATTTATTTTACTTAAGAATGTGGCCTCAGTGTGCATCCATGTAGCTATAAATATCTCTAAATATAGCATTTTAAACATAAGAGACTTGATCATTTGCAGATTTGGGGTTTCATGTTTGGGGTCCTAGAACCAATTCCTCTTGGATACTGAGAGAAGACTGTGCTTCTTAATCTTCCATTGTGATCAGTGACAGAGAAAGTTGGGGACATAGTCTTGATAAATAAGGACCTTTCAAACAAGTGGGATATATAATATAGAGTAAAGGTTTATTTTCCTTCCTTTATTACCTCAGATAGCCTAAGCTTTGTAGAGGTATTCACATGGAAGGAATTTCAAGAAAGTGTTGGTCTTAGCAGAAATGTTTAGAAGGTTGTAGGGTTCTAGAAGATGGACTGCTCTAGAATTCTTCATAAAATCTTTGGACCAATTCTGTGAATTTTTGTTTTTTATAGCTCTTTTCAGGTCTGTTGGTAAATCTCAGGACCATTGCTCCTTGGCTGTCATGGCTTCAGTACTTCAGCATTCCTCGATATGGCTTTACAGTGAGTTGTCCTCATCTGTCGTTGTGACTGGGATCCAAGCTGGGAACAATCAAAATAAGTCCTAACCATCTTATTTCCCTACTCGTGAGCTATGATCTTCCATCTAGTAATTTCTTTTCAGGAGCAATAGATGAGAACTTGTTATCCTTGATTTGCTCAAGGTCAGGCAGTTTTTCCTGTCACTCTGTTGAAGGAGATAAAGGGTAGGGAAGAATCCCAGAGTTAAAGAGTTTAGATTGACTAATTGATGAAAAATGTATTATTAAGCACTATGTGGAAATACATAAGAGAATGGGAGACTAGAACTCATAATCTTTATTGAAAGGAAAATTGGAAGGGAAACAAAGACCATGTATACTGATAACCATATTGACTTGAACAAGTTTAACTCCAGAAAATACTCTCTGTGTCTTAACAAGTTTTTGACTCTCACAGTTATAACTTGTCTTGATGAAAACAAATAAGAGCAAAAGCTCATTACCACAAATCAACGATATTTATGAGCACCTTTGCATCACTTTAATTTCAGTGTTAATGGGATTATAAAATTGGAGAGAGAAGTTGGATATGATAGCATGAGTTTATAATCCCAGACACTTGGGAGGTTGAGGCAGGAGGATCATGAGTTCAAGGCTAGTTTGGGCAACTTAAAAGGCTGTCTCAAAACAAAATAAAACAGAACAGAAAGAAAAAGACTAGAGTTGTAGTGGAGCATGCACTTGCCTAGCTGGCATGAGACCCTGTGTTTAATACGCAGTACTATAAAAATATAAAAAATAAAACAATAAAAATTAGAGAAAAATGAGCTTTGGAATAATATAGCTGGAGGTTTGCTGTCTTGGACAAATACTTTGCCCCTTTGTGTTAGAAGCAATATCTGACGCTTCATGATTGCCAGGGAACATATGCAGTTGTTTTGGTATGACAAAGACTGTGAATGTGAAACAGTATGTTTTAAAAATAATAATAAAGATTAAATTCAAGGATGTAATTATGATTATTCTTTGAAAGTATTCTGAAACTTAAGGCTATTTACCTTACCAGGCCCTTCCCTGTGTTATAGGCTTTGCAGTATAATGAATTTTTGGGACAAGACTTCTGTCCAGGACTCAATACAACACAAAATGATACCTGTGGCAACAGCTATGCAATGTAAGTTTGCATTCAGTGCTGTGGTAAGTGTGCTTGCTACTGTGGTGTAAGGTAGAAAGGCCCTAGGCTTACAATTGGTATGAGTCCTGTCAGATCAACAAAACTTTCTGAGCCTATTTTCTGATCTGTAAAGAGAGCTGTTGTGCACTAAGGTACATGGACATGCTGTACAACTCCTTTATTCTACTACAGTCAAATTTGTATTTAGCATTGAAAAATATATTGTGTGTGTTGCTTCATTGCTTTGGGCCTTAAAAGAGAACTTTTTGATTAGAAGTTTGAATTTTGATCTTTCAGAGCATTTGAGTTTGATAATTTTGTAAGAAATTATGATTTCTGAACATATGGATTAAATGTTGGCTGTGCTCCCAGCCTGTGCACAATAGTAAGAGCTAGAAGGACAATAACAGCACGGAGGAAGTGAATGTTGCCCTATTAGGATCATAGCACTTCCCTTTGCCTCAGGCTTTTGGGAGACATCCTGAAATCACAGTCTGCACAGTTTGTGTGTGTGTGTATGTGTGTATTACTGTATAAACTGATTTCAAATACTCCCTATTGTAGAACATATCCTCTAATGAAGGAAACATTTTGATAAATTGAGAAGGAAACCTCATATTGTTATTAAAACAATTATAAATTTTAATAAAATTAGAGGATCTTATTTTAAAATTTTAATAATACTTTTCTTTTCTATGATTGTTATTAATGGTTTGATTTTGATACATTAAGGAGAGAAGAGAGAAAGCTAGTATCCTAAATCTCTCCAGTAGCATAGAAGTAGTTGTTATTAATATGTAGGATAAATTTCTATTTAATAATATGTAAGATAAATTTCTATTTTGTGTTATTGACAGGGAAACCTCTATGAAGAGAGGTTACCTGCCCATTTCTTTTTTGTTTTGATCTGGAGTATGTACCAACACTAACTCACCACAAGCCTGCTGGTCAAGAGAAAGTGGACAGGAAAAATGGCACCAGATAAGGAAGAGTCACCACAGGCTTCACACCCACCTATAGCTGGTCCTCACAAAAGAAAGGAGGAAGTTTACTTACTATAAAAACCCTATAGCTGTTTTTGGAACTGCTAAATTCTAACAGATGAACAGAAATGGTAACAGGCAGTGACTGATTATATCAAGTGATTTTAGTATTAGATGCTTTTCTAACCTGTGGCAGGACCCTCCATCCTGCTCTCCTCCAGCTGCTACTTAAGGTATGAATCTGAACCTGGACCTGCTGGTAATGTCCTATAGCTGAGTGTCTGCAGTGCTCACTGCCATTTTTGTGTGAGAGCTGACAGAACTTGAGTCTGGCCCGAAGCCCTTGCTCCTTTCTGGTCCTGGTTTCAGAATTTGTAGACTGTGTTCTGGATGACTTTCTTGTGGGTGAGCAGAACTACAAGGAGATTTTATTGTCTTAACAACAGCTATGGATGTCATAGGTTAAATCTGAGGTTTTCTCCATAAGGAAATAAGTGAAAGGTTACTTATTAAAATTTTCCTTTAAAGAAAGCAGCATTATAGATTTGTTAACAAATGAATATGAGGAAGCTTGCAATTTGGTTCATAGTATGACTGTAAAATTGGCCAAGTTCATGAATCCTACTTTTCCTCTTTTTCTAAATATGTGTAATATCTAACCCTTTGGGTTGTCTGAGGGCCTAATGTATTAGGTACAAGTTATTTCAGCATAGAATCTAGCAAAATTATAGTTACTTAATGACTATTAGCTATTATTTTTGAAGGGATAATTATTAATGATTGATTAACTTGTAGGCTTTTTAAAGGTACAGTGAATATATTCAACAAAATTGAACCTATGGTATGAATGAAGTTGTGTTTTTTTCTGTTTAATTTTAGATGTACTGGAGAACAATATTTGAAAAATCAGGGCATTGATCTCTCCCCTTGGGGCTTGTGGAAGAATCATGTGGCTTTGGCTTGTATGATGATCATCTTCCTCACAATTGCCTACCTAAAATTATTATTTCTCAAAAAACATTCATAAGTTTTTTAATTTGCTTTGAATTACCCTCACATTAAAAAGAGCACCTTGAATTATTTTAAGTGTCCAGTGAAGATTTTTTTTTGTCTTCTGTTCATTTGCCATCCACTGTTGTTCAACAATAATCATTTATAGCAGAAACACTCTTAAAATCATGAGAAACTGAAATATATGTGAAAGAACCAAAGCTAAACACTAATAAAATTATATATTGCATATTAGTTCATCTCATCAGATTTTAACCACAGGGAAGAAATCTGCAGTAAGCCCCCAATTTACAAATGAGTTCAGTTCCAGGAGAATGTTCATAAGTCGGATTCATTCATAGGTCCAGCGGAGTGAGTCTTATATACCTTTCACACAAATATACAATTTAAAATGTAAAACAACCAAACACACACACAAAAATACTATTTTTACTCTTACAGTTTCCTTAAAATGGTGGTACAACACAGTACAATTGTAAATAAACTATTGTTACTTTTGTTTTTATGAGTTATTACTTTGTGCTTCCTAGCAGTCCCCTGTACATCACCATTGCTTTTCCTCTTGCTTCTGGACATACTTGTCACACGGTGTGCAACCATGGTGGCATAGAGGATGAATGATTACTTGGAGACCAAACTTAATTCAATCACCAAGAGGCTGAGAGGAGCCATCTCAACCAAGAGTGCTCAGCATTAGGGAGACTCAGGAGAAGCCCCAAAGCTGAGGACTCTCTAGGTTTTATTTAGAATATCAATGGATGTGAAAAAAGCAGAAGCAAAATAATTGGGGGAAGGAGCTGTCTCAAGGCTAGGTAGTTTTCTTAGGGGAAGAGGAAGGACAGTGGGGAGACACACCTTCTTGTTTAACCATTTCTCATTGAATTTGCATGCTTTTGCTTCACAATTTAACCATTCATTCCTCACAGAGCCTGAATGCTTTTGCCCTGCAGTTTAACAATTTACTCCTCACAGAACCTTTGAGCTTTTGCTCCACAGTTTAACCATTATTCCTCACAGAGCCTGTGTACTTTTGCCCTGCAGTTTTTTTTTCAGAGTTTAAATTATTTATTTAAGCCATCTCTTGCCACAAGCAAAGGGATGGAAGATTGGTATGATGGTCATCATCTGATACAAGTAAGGAAGGTGAGCTTAAGGTCCCATACCTTTTTCTGGTCTGAATGAGTAATGGTCCAAATCAGAGCTTCGGTCCCCAATGCCTAGGTAATGGTCCAGGTTCTCTTTATTCATCTTCATAGCCAGTCAGAAGCGGATTCACATGAGGGTTATGGAATAGAGTGTGTTTACCATCTCCCCATGGAAAGGGCTTGGTCCTGATGCGGAGGTGGGGGTAGGCAATGAACTCGGGTCTCTCCTCCTCTCCATGGCGTGACTTCAGGAAAACATTCAGCATGCTCACTCCCACCCCGGGGAGCGCCACAAAATAGGTAAGGGGCTTCCACATGTGAGCTGAGCCCTGCTCGCCGTGGGTGCCACTCGACATAAGCCGCCCCACCTGCAGGCAGGACTGGCCTAGCAGCCAAGAAACCTGGGACCTTGCCCTGCAGTTTAACCATTCAGTCCTTGGCCAAGTCCCCCACACATCTTGGGCTCTGATTTAGCACTATACTACTGTACAATATCACACTGTTCTATAAGCACACAGCAGCACACCTGCAACAATGTCTGGCAGACACATAAGCTACTACCACGATTAGTTCTCATTTATGAATGTTCATAATGCAAGGTCCCATCATTTCTGGGAAAGTTCAGAACTTGAATGTTCATAAGTTGGGGACTTATGGTAGTCTAATTTATTGATCCAAGAAATGAGAATTGAATTCCAAACACTTGACAAGTTACTAATATCTTTGCTATCAGTTTTCTCATCTTAAAAGTAAGGCCCCATGCCTGTAATCTTAGCACTGAAGGAGGCCAAGGCAGGAGGATTCCAGGTTCTAGTCCTACCAGGCCAGCTCAGCAAGACTCTATCTCAAAACAAAAATAAAAAGAGAGGTGGGACACATAGTGACAGAGTGCTCTTGGGTTTGATCCCCAATACTGAAAAAAGAAATAGGTAGACAAGTAGTGTTCCAGTTTTAGTAGTCTACGAATCTATGATTTGCCATTGGTTAAGAAATAACAAATGTATTAATGCAGCATTAGAACTATAAAATTAAAATATGTTGTAAAAACCAGTGATATTTCTAGGATAAAGGAAAGCCATTATGATAGAAAAAATGTCTTTGACAAGCCTATTAACTTTGCTGGCACTTACTGATTCTCTCCTCTAGTGGAACTGTAGGATGCCAGAATAGGCTGGAACTTTAGGCTGCAGGTAGACAAGTGGGCTATGGGCCTAGTGATTTGGCTCTAATGCTGTTTCTGGGACATTCTGGCTCTGCAATTTCACCTTCCTAGAACAATTCAGTGGTGTATAGTAATGTGTGCATAAGAACCTGCTGAGGAACTTGGCTGAGATCAACCATAGCCAACCACAGCAGAACCTGCAAAGCAGTCTCTCCAGAGAACTGACCACTGTCGGACTTGGTGATTCCCAAGATCCTTTCTACTGTCCAAATTCTGGATTTATGATTTATTAGCATATCTATCCCTGTACACTTGCCCTCTGACTTGTCCACTTCACTTTTTTCCATGTATTCTCATCATTCTAATCTGTTCCAGTTGCAGGGAAATATTTACCAACAAGATAAAGGTTATTTCTTTATAATATATGTATATTTTTTTACACAGGAGGCTCTGTATGAGCCTGGACCTGAACTCTGGTTGAAGTGAACCTCTTATCTCAGCTTTCTGAGTATTTGGGACTACAGGCACTTGCCACTGCACCTGGTTTGCAAGTGTTTATAAACTTCTTTTTCATGAAGGTGTAGTGTAACAAAAAAGTACAGTTCAGCGAATTACCATAAAATGAAGACACATGTGCAACTGACACTTCAGGTCAAGAAATGGAGTAAGGTCAGCACACTGAAGTCTCTCATGCCCCTC